TCAATTCCAGCAACCACATGGTGGCTCACGACCATCTGTAACAGGATCTGACTGCTTCTTTCTGTGTGTGTGAAGACAGAACACACAAATACTTGAATAAATAAACCTTTTCAAAAGGAAAGAAAGAAAAAACAAAAGAGGAAAACCTGCTGGGCATGGTGCCTCATGCTTTTGATCCCAGCACTTGGAAGGCAGAGGCAAGCAGGTCTGTGAGTTCAAGGACAGCCTTGTCTACAAAGTGAGTTCCAGGACAGCTATGGCTGTTACACAGAAAAACCCTGTCTATTTTTTAAAATTTATTTAATATTTTTTCTTATTTTACATATCAATCCCAGTTCTCACTCCCTCCCATCCTCCAATCCCCCACTAGCCCCCCATCCCATCCTCCATCCACTCCCCAGGGAGGGTGAGGCCTTCCATGAAAGATTATCAAAGTGTCAAGTCATTTGGGGTAGGGCCTAGACCTTCCTCCGTGTTTCTAGGCTAAGGGAGTATCCCTCCATGGGGAATGGGCTTCCAAAGTACATTTGCACAAGGGATAAATCCTGGTTCTACTGTCAGAGGTTCCATAGACTGCCCTGCTGACACCCACATTCAGGGGGCCTGGTTTGGTCCTATGTTGGTTCCCCAGCTGTCAGACTGGGGTCCATGAGTTCCCACTTGCTCAGGTCAGCTATCTCTGTGGGTTTTCCCTCCCTCTCTGAAACTGGATTCCAATAGTTTGGCTCAGTGCTTAGCTATGCGTGTCTGCTTCTGCTCCCATCAGCTACTAGATGAAGGCTCTAGGATGGCATTTAAGGTAGTCATCAGTCTCATTATAGGGGAAGGGCATTTAAAGCAGCCTCTCCACTATTGCTTAGATTCCTAGTTGGGGTCATCCGTATAGATCTCTGTACAATTCCCTGTGCCAGATTTCTCTTTAAACCTATAATGGCTCCCTCTATTGATGTGTCTCTTTTCTTGATCTCATCTATTCGTCTCCCCATTCAATCTGACTGATCCCTCAATGTTCTCCTCCCCCTCCTCTTCTCCCCTCCTCTTTCTCCTATCTCCCTCCCTCCTCCCCCAATGCTCCCAGTTTGTTCAGGGGCTCTTGTCCCTTTCCCCTTCACCAGAGGACCATGTTAATCTCCCTTACAGTTCTCCTTGTTTCCTAGCTTCTCTGGAGGTGTGGATTGTAGGCTGGTAATCCTTTGTTCTATGTCTAATATCCATATATGAGTGAGTACATACCATGTTTGTCTTTCTGTGACTGGGTTACCTCACTTAGGATGGTTTCTTCTAGTTCCATCCATTTGCCTGCAAATTTCAAGATTCCATTGTTTTTTCCGCTGAGTTGTACTCCATTGTGTAAATGTACCACATTTTCTGTATCCATTCTTCGGTTGAGGGGCATCTAGGTTGCTTCTAGGGAAAAACCCTGTCTTGAAAAACACAAACAAACAAACAAAACAAAACAAAAAAGAAGAAAGAAAGAAAGGAAGGAAGGAAGGAAGGAAGGAAGAAAGAAAGAAAGAAAGAAAGAAAGAAAGAAAGAAAGAAAGAAGAGAGGAAACCCAAGGAGGCTGCCGCCCTGTCCTGCTGCCTCCCAGCTGCACCTGCCTCCCAGTAACCGGCAGGATAAGCATTTGTTGTCTGAATTCTTCCAGGTGTTCTAAGTAAATCCACTTAAATATCCATCAAGGTGCACTGTTTGGTAATCGGCCTTATTTTCCTTTTCCCTTAATATTACATAGGGTTAGAGAGAAGCTTGGTGGTTAAGAGTGCTTGCTCTTCTTACAGGGTTAGGGTTCGGTCCTCAGCACCCACATGTTGGCTCACAGTGTCTATAACTTCAATTCCAGGACATCCAATGCCCTCTTCTGACCTTCAAGAACATACGGCACACTCATGGATATATATACACACTATGCAAACCCTCAGACACATAACATACAAATAAGTAAATAAAAAAGGACAGTATTTTGGATGTCTCTTCATGTCACTGAAACTCCTTAAAATAGCTTGGGATTTTTGGTGCCTGCATGGTATTCTATGGACACTCTGCAAACTGAAATTTACTGTTGATATACAGGTATTTTTGATGTTTTCCAAAACATCTCTATCTACATCTATAGCGGGTGCTTGCTCTATGCATGTTAGCTGGTTTGATCTCCAGTGAAGCCTTAGATTTTTATGTTATCGCTGCTCGTATTTTATAAACTAGAACATTTAGGCACAGAAACGGCAGTGGAGTTTTTTTTGTCAGAGGAGGCTATTTGTCCAAGGTCATAGCAACTTATGCAGCAGTTCTCAGCCTGTGGGTTGCGATCCCTTTGGTGGTTAAACAATCTTTTCACAGGGGTCACCTAAGACCTCTGGAAATATCAGATTATGATTCATAACATTACAATTCATAACAGTGTCAAAATTACAGTTGTGCAGTAGCAATGAAATAATTTTATAGTTAGGGGTCACTGCAGCGTGAGGAACTGTGTTACAAGGTTAAAGCATTAGGAAGGTTGGGAACTACTGAGCTAGAGGGCCAGGCAGTGGGGCCTCATTAAAATCCCGGCAGAGGAGGATCCCAACCAAGTCTGTGGCTCACTGCTCCGAGCTTACACCCTCCAGTGCTCAGATGTGCAGCCCTTAGTCAGTCCTTTGTGAGGACCTAGAGTAGAACAACAGGGTCACAGGGCGTGTGCATTTGAGAGATTTTCTTTCTTTCTCTGTTTTGTTTTTCAAGACAGGGTTTCTCTGTGCAGCCCTAGCTGGCCTGGAATGCATTGTAGACAAGGCTGGCCTTGAGCTCACAGAGATCCACTTGCCTCTGCCCCCCAAACACTGGGATTAAAGGCGTGAACCACTCACTGGCTGTTTTGGTTGGATTTTAATTTTATGACAGGGTCTTATTCTATATCATTGGCTGGCCTGTAACTCACTATATAGTTCAGGCTAGCCTCAACTCATAAAGATCCTCTTGTGTCTCTGTCTCCAAGGGCTGGAATTAAAGGTGTGTGCCACCTTGGCCAGCTGGTTCTGCTTCTTGAATTCTCCGACTCTTCCAGTCTGCATCCTGCTGATATCCTCGGTACAGGTTAACTCAGAGATTACTGAGTGCTAAGAACCTGTCTGTATCTATGGGTTCTCCCAGAATGTCCCCTACCCTGGGTCTGGTGGTCCTCCTCCTCTAGGAAGCATTCCCAGTCTCCATGGCAATGGCTCCCTCATTTGTGTTTGTATTCCCTGAGGCAGTCTTGGCCTCCTGCACTGTGGCCCTTTGTGTTCAGTGCTATGAGCTACTGCAGATAAAGCCAGCAGCTGAGTCATCTGGGTATGAAGTCCTGGATGTAAGGATTGTAGGCATGAGGTGCTTACCGTTCCTACCATTTCCTTGGTCCTTCTGTAATTTCATGAGTACTTTTCTGACCAAGAGAAGCAAACATTAAGAAATTCATTCTGGGGAGCTGGAGAGATGATTCAGGGGTTAAGAGCACTGGCTGCTCTTCCAGAGGACCCCAGTTCAATTCCCAGGACCCATATGGCAGCTCGCGACTGTCTGTAACTCCAGTTCCAAGGGATCTGACACCCTCATACAGACATAGATGCAACAAAACACTAATGCACAGATAAATAAATAAATAAATCTTTTTAAAAAATTGATTTCTTCCAGTGCCTCCACCGCTGGCATGCAAGGGTTGTGGTCATGAGGTATGGCTTCTGCCTTTTCCTCAGTCTCTCTGTTACTTCCTGAGTATTTTTCTGACCAAGAAATTCGTTTCTGCTGGGCTTGGTGGCACTCCAGTGGCAGAGGCAGGCAGATCTCTGTGAGTTTGAGGCCAGCCTGATCTACAGAGTGAGTTTCGGTACAGCCAGGGTTACACAGAGAGACTAGTTTCAAAACAAAACACCCATTTCAGTAACTGCACCTACAACCAGTAGGTGCTTCTCTGCTTCTTTCTCGGCACCCACTGTGACTGAGGAGTGTTTTTATGCACCATTCTGACATGCTGATTCTGCAGGAGCCCCACTGTAGGGGGCCTGTGCCTATGTGTGTGTGCATAGTGTATGGTGAGTTTTGATGTTGTCTGCCTTTGGCTGACTGTTTAGGTCTGCCAGTTAGTCATCTGACTTTGCGCACCTCTCTACCTCAGTTTCCCAGTCAGCAAGTAGTAGCCCTCAAGAAACCTCAGGTGTTAATTTTACAGCGATAATGAAGTTCTTTTAAGTCCCCAGTGACTTCCTGATGACAAACTCCAACAGATTCCTGACTCTGGTTCCCTATTTGTTAGTTACCTTAACATGTCACATACTATATATTGTATTTTTCTTCTTTTTAACAGAGATATTTCTCTTTTTCATTTTTGTTTCTCTATTTTTATGAGTACAGGTGCTTTGCTTGCATGCATGTCTGTGAACTATGTGCATCCAGCGCTCATAAGAGGGTTATCGGACCCCTGGGACTGGAGTGACAGACAGCTGTGGACCTCCACGGTGGTCCTGAGACACAAACCTGTCTCTTCTGGAAGTGCAGCCAGTCCTCTGAATTGTTGTTACTTCTTTTTAAAGATTTGTTTGATTATTTATATATGTGTCTGTGTGTCTGTACTTGTGTGTGCAGGTGTCTGAGGAGGCAAGGGCATGGTGTTGGTGCTGGATGCCCTAGAACTGAAGTTAGAGGCGGTTGTGAGTGGCCATGTGGGTGTTGGGAACTGAACTCCAGTCCTCTGGAAGAGCAGCCAGCACTTCTGATGCCAGGGCCATCTCCACAGCCCCCACATTTTATGTTTTGGCCTCATTTAGGGTCTGATAATTATGGCGTATAAGATAACCTAAATAATAACACGGCCTGGACATTGTCTTTGTTGAGTGGAAGAGAAATTGAGACCCATGGATGTGAGGCACTTGGCCCTATGTGGCAGTTGGGGATGCCAGTGGCAGGGTTGGGGATGGAACCTCTGGCCATGGGGCCCATCTGTCTCTTACACAAGACAGAGAAGTCAAATGGCTGTCCTAAGTTTTCCCTTTGTCACACTACTTCCCCATGCAGGCTGATGGAATTTTCCAGGGTTCTGGGGCTGGATGTGACCTCTGTGGTCTTTAGATGTTTGGCGGAGATTACCAGGACAGCAACATCCTGACTGTCAAAAGATCTCATTCGGTGCCCGGACAGGCCAAGTAGGTAGGACGGTAAGACCGGAGAATCCCAGGAATCTCAGGCCAGGAGATCAGAACACCCCACCCCCAGGCGCCCAGCTCTTCCCTTCCTGCCCTTCTTTCTCCTGTAAAGCCTGCAGGAAGGAGGCCTTGCTATCTATCTGCTTTGGGAAGCAGCTTCCCACAGAGACAGTTCCTCACCTTAGCTGGGCCCCTCCCCTCCTCTCTCAGACGGTGAAAGTGGGCCAATCACAGTGATCATGATCATGCATATTGTTTATTATGAGGGCTCCCGGTGTTGTTCCCCCAAGTTCATCTTCCCAAGAGCCTCAAATGGGGCACTAGCATTCTTGTTTGACAAAAGAAGGAAACTGAGGCTCTGAATGGGTAAGTAGTTTGGTGGACACCCTGCAGTGCTGGGGACTTTGCTCTTAGTCACAGACGGGGAGGGAGCATCTGGGCAAAGGATCTGCAGTGTCACATAACAGGAAGTGTGATCTCAGAGGGAAGGCCCAGACAGAATTAGCTTCTGAGATGTGGTTCTGGGTTCTGATCTAACCTCAGCTTCTGGGTGACTTTGAGCAGATTGCTTGCCTTCTGTGGGCCTTGAGAGGCCTCTGCTGTGTCACAGGAGTGAGACTAAAAGCCCCCACACCACCCCAGCTCATATTATGTGTGGTGGGCAGCAAGGAAGGGCAGTTAAGGGTGGCGTTTGAATGCTATGTGGGCCACCCGCAAGCCACCGTGGCACCACTGCCAGTTCTGTGGCCTTAGTTTGTGGCTGAGCAGATTTTATTTAAAATGAACTTTGCCTTTACCGACGTTAGACTGAGATGGAAACCACAGTGGGACAAAAGCAAATGGGAAAGGTTCCTTCAACAAAGAACATGGAGCTTCAGTGGTAAGGTCTGGACAAAAGTCTGTCAGTTCGTGTCTTGAACTGGACTGAATTCTTCTTCCCTAGCCTCAGTCTTATGATCCGTAAAATGAGAACACACACTCACATGTATGCACGAACGTGCACAGACACACTCACACACACACCCTCCCCTATATTTTGGGGACAGAGCTTCAAACTTATGATTTTCCTGCCTCAGTATCCCAAGTACCACTGTGCCCAACGATATGTTTGCAGTCTTTTACTGTAAACGCCCTCAAATGCCCCTTATGATCACTAAAATTCCTCTGCTACCTCGATTCCTGTGCCTGATTCTTATTGAGGCCTGCCGTGTCCAGAGCCCCAGGTGGGAGAGCCTGGACTTAGAGATGGGAACCCAGGTGGGCAGAGAATGAAGAAGGGGCAAGGTGCCACAAGGACCGATTGCTCCCTCTTTGGCCCCTAGGTCCACCCTCCCCCAAGTGTCTGGGGGCCTGGCCTGAGATCAGAGGTCCACCAGCGTCAGCCCGCACCCTGCCCAGCGCGTCAGGAGGCGCCTTCTCAGCACAGAACAATGCCGGTTCTTTGAAGGGCTGGGCGGCAGGGGATGGGTGTTTCTCCAAACACAGGGCCTCCTTTGCAAAACAGGCTTTGATTCCCAGGCCCGGAGGCCCCAGGTGCCTGTTGGACGTCAGTCGGGTGGCTGGGGGCTTTGTTTGGCAGGAAAAGGGGACTTGGAGACTCAGGAACCAAGGCGGGGACAGAACTGGATGGAGTTGTAGTGGCCTGGGCAGGCAATCCCGGTTACAAAGGTGGGGGTGGGTTCTGTACATCTCTGGCAGTCCTTCCTTTATCCTGGCTGCTCAGGGCGGTCCAGTTCTCCTCTCTTGATGGGTTATGACTCTATCACAAATACTGCGTGTGCAGTTGGACTTCAAAGTTGGCCCCTGGGTTGCAAAAGAATTCTAATTTGGGAATGAAGTTGGTAAGACTGGAGATCAGAATCAAAGAGGCAGGGTCCAAAGAGCCCAGAAGAGAGAGACTCTGGCTTGTACACTAAGTCTCAGGGTTCCATGTCAATCATGAGGGGTCTGACTTGTGTCAAATACAATGCAAAATGATGGAGACAGCCGGGTCTCTGGTTTAACCCTCATCTCCCCTGTTGAAGCCCTTATGGGGCCTCTGAATGCATCTCAGCCCCCCCATTGCTCACTCTGCTGATCTACCTTGGCCTTGCAGATCCAGAACTGAGGACTCCATGCCTACATGCTGGGCCAGGGCTGGCTGCCAACCTCTTTCAAGCCAAAGCTTAAAATTTTACACTCTTCACTAGCCTCCGTGGACCTTGAATCTGAGTCCCAGCTCACATTTGTTCTCACAACACCCTGCACCTCTTAAGATAGACTCCAGCTACTTAGGACGCTGTTGACATTGTCAGATATAATGCAAGATCCAGACTGGGCACCTGGGCCGGTATTACTTACACATGTAACTCCGTCTAGACTCTGCTAGACTCTAGATGTGATTAGCATTCATAATCAATTGACTGTGTAAAACAGGTTAGCTTCCACACAGTCAGTGGAGGGTTAAAGAGGGAGCTAGCTATGTCTCCCTAGAGAAGCACTTCTGCTTCAAAAATGAGAGAGATAAAAAAATTTAAAATACTATAGTTGAATCATAGTTATGATTGGGTATTGGTAATTTCATATAGTTCAACCTAATATTTATGGAATGAAAAAAATGAATAGCCCTCAAAACTATTATGAGGTACACATTTTCTTTCTTTGTTTCTGTTTTTTTTTTTTTTTTTTTTTCATTTTTGTTTTGTTTTGTTGTTTTTTGGTTTTCAAGACAGGGTTTCTCTGTATAGCTTTGGAGGCTGTCCTGGAACTAGCTCTATAGACAGAGAACTGCCTGCCTCTGTCTCCCCCCCCCCAGTGCTGGAATTAAAGGCATGCGCCACCAACGCCCGGCTTTTTTTTTTTTTTCTTCACATTATCTTTGATTGAAAAGAATACTAGGTACTAGAGGAAACTGGAAAGATGGCTCAATGGTTAAGAATACTATTTTTCCAGAGGATCCAGGTTCAGTTCCCAGTACCCAACAAACATTTGTAACTTCAGTCTCGAGGATCCAATGCCCTCTTCTGGTCTCTGCAAGCACTATATACTGATGGTGCACAGATATACAGGTAGGAAAAACACCCATATACACGAAATAAAAATAAGTAACCCCCCTCCCAAAATAAAGGAAGGAAGAGGACTAGGACTCAGAGAAGTAGCCAGCCAAGGGGGCATAGCCTGTAGTCCTAGCACAAACCTGGGGAGCACAGGCTGTAGGATCAACCAGGAATTAGAGGACATTCTCTGTTGCATAGGAAGTTTGAGGCCATCCTGGGCTACATGAGACCTGGTCTTTAAGCAAAACAAAGGTTCAGAGAACTAAAGTGTTAGAGATGGGATTCAATCTACAGACCACTTCAATGTTAACCAATACCTAACATATATTTCTAATGTGGCATATTCTCTAATTAAACTACTATGAGCAGAGCCTGCTACCTCTTTGGGGGCTTAGTTTGCCAGGTCAGGGAAATAGTAACAGGAAATTCAGACTGGCTTAAATGCCTTTCAACCACAAGCTCTCAGGCTTCCAAGCAAAAGCAGTTCCTTAGTGCCCTTCATCCAAGTATGCCTTGGGCTGCTGGGAAACTTCCTTGGGCCCAGAGATTCTGTCCAAGAGACCGGTGACACATCTCGTGCTAGCCCCAGGGGACTCCTGAAGGAGCTCTGCTTTCAGGCTCACCCAAGACTGCTGGTACCTGGTAGGTAGCAGGTCACAGAAGTCTGGGGCAGAGGTGATCTTGGGATAGCCCACACGAGTGCAAAACTGGGTTTGGCCATTTAGTGACCTGTGACTTTGGTATCTGGATGTCAGGCTCCCTAAAGATAAAAAAATGAAAGCAGAATATACTTTATTTCACTTTTTCTTTTTTGGTTTATTTATTTTGCTTTGCACACATGACTGTTTTGTCTGCATGCATGCGTGTTTCACCAGCCTACCTGTATGTGAACCAAGTATGTACCTGTTGGAGTGCCTGGAGCTGGAGTTCCAGATGGTTGTGAGCTGCCATGTCGGTGCTGGCAATTAAACCTGGGTCCTCTACAAGAGCAACAAGTGCTCTTAACTGCTGAGCCATCTCTCCAGCCCTGGAAAATGTGCTTTCTAAAGCTGAATGGGATGATCTGTACCAGGGCTTTGGGTTCTGAGTGCTGACTAGGCAGGGGTCAGTGCTAACACTTTCAGAGGTTAACACTGCCACAGGTCTGGAGTATGCCAGAGGTGGGAAGAGAAGGCGTCCATATTTATTTCAGGGCCCTGACTACCCTCACCCCTCCAGGAGTCTCACTTCCAATGCTGACCCCTTGGATGAGAATCTGATTGCAGCAATTCCTATGGGCTTGGCGTCAATGAGTCTACACCTTCAGGTGTGGCCCTTGGGTGAGGGGAGAGGTGAGCTCGCATTCTGGTTGCTAAAAACGTAAACCCAACAGAGGCTAGCATTTCAGACACTCAAGGCAGGTAATTATGACATTTGAAATTTTTTGCATAAACTGATGTTTATCCTAAAACTGTAGGTGACAGGTACTCTCATCCAATTTTAAACATGTGAAGAAAATCTGGACCAGGGAGGAGACACAGCCATCAGCAGTCATCAACAGTCTTTGTGAACACCACTCTCTCCCTAGCTGTGAAGGTGGCTCCCTAGGGGGAACAGTTTGGTTTCCAACGCAGATAGATAGACAAGACTATTTCCTGGGTAGAGGAACTTTTTTCTCTTTATATGCCTTCCTTCCTCCCTCCTTCTTTCCCTCCCTCCTTCCCTCCCTCCTTCCCTCCCTCCTTCCTTCCCTCCTTCCCTCCCTCCTTCCCTCCCTCCTTCCCTCCCTCCTTCCTTCCCTCCTTCCCTCCCTCCTTCCCTCCCTCCTTCCCTCCATCCTTCCTTCCCTCCATCCTTCCCTCCATCCTTCCCTCCCTCATTCCCTCCCTCCCTCCTTCCTTCCCTCTCTCCCTCTTTCCCTCCCTCCCTCCTTCCTTCCCTCTCTCCCTCTTTCCCTCCCTCCCTCCTTCCCTCCCTCCTTCCCTCCCTCCATCCTTCCTTCCCTCCTTCCCTCCATCCTCCCCTCCCTCCTTCCTTCCTTCCCTCCCTTCCTCCTTCCCTCCCTCCCTCCTTCCCTCCTTCTTTCCCTCCCTTCTTCCTTCCCTCCCTCCTTCCCTCCCTCTTTCTTCCCTCCCTTGCTTCCTTTCTTCCTTTCTTGCCTGGATTCTCATGGAACAAACGTCTTAACTCAGGCTGACTTTGAACTTGTGATTCTTCTCTCAGCTTCTAGAATGATTTGATTATAAGGCATGAGATGCTATATCTAGTTCTATATATATTTGGAATTTTTAAAATTACATTTTATTTATTCACTGAACTTGACAGCAGGTGCCTTTAGACCTGCTGAGCCATCTAATGGGCCCTATATATGTGTGTTTTTTTTTTAAAAACAATAGAAAGGAATTGTACTTTATTATTATTTAGAGACACATAAGTAGAAAATTTAGAAAATGTTTCTATATTGAAGCTGCTTGCTCAAATTATTTTTAACCAATAATGGTACAAGATCAAAGAGTCCACAGCTCCAGGGAACCATCCTGAACTTCAACATTCAGGACAGCTTCCTTCCTGCACTGGGGCTCAACTTTGCCTGGGTCCTTGCTGGGGACCCATAGGGACCTTCAGTATCATCTCTCAGACACTGGTGGCTCCTGAGCCTCTTTAGAGCCATCCATTCTCCCAGCCACCAAACTGTCTCCATTGGCTCACAGTGGTCCAGGAGGCTATGACTGCTGGCACTTCCAACAGCCTTTCTTGTTGTCTGGGTCTGAGTGTCCACCTAGGAACTTCAACCTCCTGCCCCTTCCCAGCCTGCTGGGTTACAGTGTGTCCTTAGAAAGAGAGTAAACAGAGGAGGTGACAGTGTCAATAAATGTTCCCATGTGGCCTTGGCTAGCACACATGCCTTTCCACTAAGAGACAGGTAAATCTGGGCTTGTGGCCTTTCCTACAATACACACAAAAATAAATATTAAGAAGGCAGGAAGCAGTAATAAAAATAAGGAAAAGAACCAAAGGAAAGGAATGTCCCTTATGGTCTCTGAAAGAGATCTTAAAGAGCCAATGCTATGCAGTACAATGTCCTGGTCCTAGACAGCTGGCAGGAGGAGGACAATTGAGACAGAGCCAAGATGATCTGGTAACATGGATTTCCCATTCACAGAAATGTATAATGGGAGCAGATCATTTAATACAGTAGTTAATGAAGAAACCTCTTAGACGCGACAGCTAGTTCTGAGTAGAATTAAGAGACCCACACTTTGGGGCCTCATGGGTGTCTCAGCAGTTAAGAGCACATACTGCTCTCCCAGAAGACTGGAGTTCTACTTCCAGCATCCACATCACATGGCTCACAACAGCCTGTCACCCCAGCTTCAGAAGTACTTACAATAGCCTGTCACTCTGGTCTCTGTGGGCACCTTCAGTTATGTGTAACACACACACACACACACACACACACACACACACACGCACGCACGCACGCACACACACACACACAGTTAAATATAATACAAATAAATCTTCAAAAAAAAGAATGCTGATGATTTTGAAACTATTTCCAAAATGATCTATAAGCAAAAATCAGCTGTATTCTAATAGGCCCAATTCACATGCATTTCTAAGGGAAAAATTTGTTTTGCTGTCATTGTTTTCTCATAGTTTATAAAGTTGTGGAAGATCTCAAAGATAATAAAAACATGAAAATAAGCTGGAAGAGAGCTTTAGTTTTAAATTTTTATTTATTTATTTGTATGTGTATGAATGTTTTGTCTGCATGTATATCTGTTCAACACACACACATACACACACACACACAAAGAAAGAAAAAAATAAATTTGGTAGCTGAGCAGGCACATGCCTTTAATCCCAGCACACAGGGAGGCAGAGATAGGTAGATCTCTAAGCTTGAGGCCAGCCTTGTCTACAGAGTGAGTTCCAAACCAGCCAGAACTACACAGAGAAACACTGTCTCAAAAAAACCAAAAGCAAGTAAGTAAATAAATAAATAAATAACTTTGAGAAATACAATGAAGAATGTTCATTAAGCATGGATTCCAGGGGAAACAACATGGGAGTAAGTTGTTTTGTCACTCCATAGTTTTGCTCCTACAGGTGATTCAGGAGAGAGCAGCTTGCTATTCAACTAGGAAA